TTAATTCTCATTTAGCAACACCTGAAGACCCCATTGTGACGGGCTTCCCAATCTGTCATATTCGCCAACTTTAATATGAAGCCGTTACAGGCTGGTTATCTCCCCTAGACCCTTCAGTACCCCCTAACCTTCTTAACAATATAAACTCAGAAGAACTTTCCATAAAATTTACAAAAGGAGAGGAAAAGGACGAAAAGAGGGATTATTACTGGTTTCCTTTCAGGAGCTCATAGGATTTATTTCTCACCCCTATTAATCATAGTATAATGCAACTAAATCAATAAAACATCAATAAAACGCTTCAAGAACTTCACTATCCTACCAGTTACACAGTTCTATTTATCAATAACACAAGCAATAATCTCAACAATTTTAGCATCAGGGTTGCCAACATATCCTCCAACACTATAAACATCATAATCAATGGCACCTTTTCCAGGGTCAACATGGTGCCATAGGAAGGATGAGATAGTGAAAAACTTTGAAGGACCTAAACAAAAGGATCAATAAATACAAACTCCTGCCAGAGGGATAACATAAACAATGTTTGTATAATTAACTGATGACCTTCCCCGACACCATACTGGTTATCAAAAATGCAGATAAGCGTAATAGGCTGTGCTTAGAATCTGTTCAATTACCACTACTAACACTATCACACAAAATTAAAGATCCTTAATTTAGGAAATAATGGTCGAAATTATTACTACTAATATCAAATAAAATAGGTAAAGGAACACTGTGGTCGACCGTCTGACCCATCCTAATTTTACTGCATTCGATGATTCCATCTGCCAGAGTCACCTTACTACTGGTGACGTTACTCGCTCACTCCGCTCCCCACGACACGCCTTCATTATATATAATTATACTCTGCTTGTCTTTGTGAGAGTTGACAAAATCCCTGGTTGGAAAAAATATTTTCTGAATTTGTTCTGTCCTCAACTGACGGAGTGGGAGACGGGCCACTGTAGTGTAACGAGGAGAGCGAAATTTGCTGAAGGTTGAGGGACGAGGGACTGATAGATTAATGGACTGAACACATCGACTCCAGGCTGAGGGACTGATTACCACAAACTCTTCATTTTCCACCGTTCTTCTCTATATTGGACTGTAGAAGACACTGGCTAGAGAAACGTTTCCGTAAAAAGGACTCCCATATGTTGCACAAGTGTCTCATTCTTTATATATTTAGTTAATGTATAGTTTTCCTTCAGTGAATAAATATAGGCAGCCTCTCTCGATCAGCGGACTGAAGTTCGAGTCTGCACTTCACCTTGCCATGAAATTAACCCACAAGCGCTTAGCGGATAGAGGATCGAGCCTCCAACAGTCCTCAGCTTAGAGAACGAAACATCGAGCCACCACTACTTCTTGAACTGCATGGCACTATCTGAACAAAGGATCGAGCACCTCCAGTGCTGGTGCACAATGAATCACATTAGCGAACGAAGGATCGAGGCTCCACTACTCCTAGCACTGAATGAATTACATTAGTTTAGCGATCGAAAGACCGAGGCTCCACCACTCCTGGCGCTGAATGAATCACACGAGTTTAGCGCACGAGGAATTAAGCCCCAAGCACTCCCGAGGGAGGTGCGCTTCATATAAACTAAAAATATCCACTGAGCCAACCTTCCCGGAATCGCTGTGAACGGGAGGAAGCAGCAGAGACTTATTTTCCAAATGGAAGCTAAATGAGATTAGCAGTTTTTAGACCTTTCATCCATTTTAAAGTTAAGTGGATTTAGCCTCCTCCAAGTCCTGGATTATAGGAGGCAGCGGATGAAATTATCTCCCCACTGGGAGGGGATATGTTTATATTTATCATGTTGTGGTTCTTGAGGGAAGATGGTGAGTATTGAGTGTGGTTACTGCTGTCAGTGTAACACTGACGTCACACTATGTCGGTGTAATACTGACGTCACACTAAATCTGTCAGTGTAACACTGACGTCACACTATGTCGGTGTAACACTGACGTCACACTATGTCGGTGTAATACTGACGTCACACTAAACCTGTCAGTGTAACACTGACGTCACACTATGTCGGTGTAACACTGACGTCACACTAAATCTGTCAGTTTAACACTGACGTCACACTATGTCGGTGTAATACTGACGTCACACTAAATCTGTCAGTGTAACACTGACGTCACACTATGTCGGTGTAACACTGACGTCACACTATGTCGGTGTAATACTGACGTCACACTAAACCTGTCAGTGTAACACTGACGTCACACTATGTCGGTGTAACACTGACGTCACACTAAATCTATCAGTGTAACACTGACGTCACACTATGTCGGTGTAATACTGACGTCACACTAAATCTGTCAGTGTAACACTGACGTCACACTATGTCGGTGTAACACTGACGTCACACTAAATCTGTCAGTGTAACACTGACGTCACACTATGTCGGTGTAATACTGACGTCACACTAAATCTGTCAGTGTAACACTGACGTCACACTATATCCGTCAGTGTCAGTGCAACACTGACATCACACTATATCCGTCAGTGTCAGTGTAGCATTCACGCCATGCTATATCTGTCAGTGTAACATTTACATCGCACTACATCTGTCATTGTCGGTGTAACATTGACTTCACACTACACCTATGTCCTATACCTCTTTCAGTCTCAGTGTAATACTGGCGTCACACTATACCTCTCTCAGTGTAACACTGACATCACACTATTTCTCTTGTAACACAGTGTAACACATCACACTATAACTATCAGTGTAGTAGTGAACCCACTAAAGCTCTGTCAGTCAGTGTAATACTGATCGCACACTTAAGCTCTATTCATTTTAACTTAATTGAAAACCATTAAAGGACAGCAGTATAAATGTGTATCCCATCCCATCCCACGCTCTCACACTCTCTCTCTCTCTCTCTCTCTCTCTCTCTCTCCGCTTTTCGATAATAGCAATAATAATAATAATTATCATTGCCTGTCTCTGTTTGTCTGTCTGTCTCTCTCTCTCACAATACTATAAAATCTTGGCCACTAGTAATGTCTTGCTCAGATCAATGGTAATGAGACAACCTTTCTGCTACGAGCGACTATCACTTCTCCCACAAACTCAATTCTCCCTCTTGCTGGAAAAAGCATTTCGGTCCACTTTCCAGTTTGTGAAAGCTGGAAGCCATTTAATGTGACTCACGTAAGAAAAATTTATTTTTTTTCTGGTGCCTTCCAAGGGTAAAGAGCCTCAAGTATTCGGAGTAAATGGTTTATACGAGCTAGAGTGGGCATCCAGTGGTTAAATTGTAAGCGTGTTTTTAACCTAGGCTTCAGAAAGAGCATTTAAATCAAGAATTGTATGCTACCAAGTGGTCTGTGCGTCTCTCACTATATATACCACGAACCACGCAGTGTTTATGACGTTTAGTTTATATGCTCGTACATCGGGTGCTGTTTGTATCTCTTTGTATGTACATCGAGGTGTGTGTATAATTCGGTGTATATTCTCCGAGAATTGTTAGTGAATATATTCGTTACGCCAAGAAGTGGCTGTATCTATGAGTGTATATACAACAAAAAGTGTATATTTCTCTGTGTATATGCAACAAGAGGTGTGTTAAACCTAGACACACACTTCTTTCTGTATATACACTTCTCAATGTATATATACCGAGAGATACGTATTTCTCTGTGAATAAACACTAAGAGATGAATATACACAGAGATGCACGTCAGTTGGTTTATACACAGAGAGATAAACACCTCTCGATGTATATACATTGAGAGATTAAGTCACCTGAGAGTTTGTTTTAATTCCCCTTTCAGGGATTAAATAGTTCCTACCTTAACGACCCAAGAGTAATTGAGAGGATTAATATCAAATAAATTAATTGTATAAATATAATGGTTCTTGTATATTGTAACACATCATGAATGTAAATAAATCTTGTTGTAAATAAATGTCGCGTAGACGGAACAAACCTACACTAAAAATGTCGCTTGTAGTGATTTTTTCTCCGTAAGTGTAAGCAAATCATTCATGAAGAAAGTCAGTGGAGAGAATCAACGTATAATTGACAGTGTTGAAGCAGACATAAATGAAGAGCAAAAATTGGCGTTGACAACAGCTTGTACAGATTACATAAAAGGCTTAACATGACATCAATGAGTTTAAAAAGAGTATTATAGAGGTAAAACACTGTCCCAATAAATGTTATGCTATAATGTTATGCTATGCATGTGTGTCAGTTTCAACTGAGAATGTTTGGAATGAACATCCACATTGCTAACGAATTTTTTTCCATGGTATGCTTCCATTTTTTCGTATTAGTTTCGTATCTAAAAAAAACTGTGACTTCTATAGTGCTTTCCTATTTTTTATGATAAAACTGAGTATATCATTGAGGTCGTTGCTGGAATATGAATATCTAAGACTTTATTTTTTTTATTTAAAATACAATGCATAACGAACATAAAAAACCCTTAAACAAGGGCTGATATACATTTAAAATACATAAATTATGACATTCAATCCCTCAGGACATATATTAGCAGTTTATCACAACACTGAACGTTAACGTTCAGTAGAGGTTACACGGAAAATCATTATAAAAATATCGCATATTGCAAAACGTAACACTAAGAAGAATGGGTAAAGAAATCAAGCTCACGTACACAAGAACACAACGAGAACGTAACATACAGGCGACTCCGGTAAAAGGGTCCATAATATATTTTAAAATCATGCATTAAATCTACAATCCCTTCGGGTATACAATGTTAACATAACTTACTCTGACATATGACCAAGTCACAATAAGATAAATACATTCACAAAATACATCGTAAACGTACAACCTGCACAATAATCAGTAAGTGAAATAACCTACACCATAAACTCAATATAAAACTAACCTCCCATTACAGTAAGTTCCCTACAATCACACAGAATCCTGAAAATTCTGCGATTTCCATGGCGTTTTTCTCTCATAAAATTAACTAAGTTAAAACGACAGCTTACCTTGTTACGTAGTAACTACTCCCCACGTTACTGGACGTTAATGACAAGTATTATTTCTTCGTTTTCTTCAGTTAATTAATATGAATAATTGATAATATACATTGTTGCGTGCATGAGACTGTTATCCCTCCGAGGAAGGTACAGTCTGCTGTGCGCAAGGTTTCACCCTTAACTGATTTATAAGTATGGAATTAAGGTTCAGTGCGGTCCGTCCAGCAGTTAGTAGTACATACTTCTCGCACCTCGATGACGTGGTGTTCAAAAAGTGTTGTTTGAATCATCAGGGAAACTTGACGCCATGGACAGTATCACTAAACTGCTAGTTACATTATAATTATGGGTTTGTTTAATAAACCTTATTAATTCTTTGAACATATATGTACATACATAATCATATACTGAAAGAGATGGAGCGTGAAGCCATGGCAGGTGAGCCATAACACTCACAAGCCGTAACACTCACTCTGCCATAGGACTCACATGCCATAGGACGCACCTACAATAGGACTCATCTGCCATAGGACTCACCTGCCATGGGTTCATGACTCATCCTTTCTCTGATTAGTCTGCAATCGTATTATTACGATTTCGTAAGTCATATATTGCATATAATATATATACAATATGTATGTCGTGGCGAATATGCGGAACTAGCGAGTTTAGCCTAAAAAGCAATGGTTATTTCTGCCGAATAAGAAGAGGAAAAATTTGTTTAGGAAATAAATCTTCAAAAATTAGCCTGAACATAAGGAAAATAATATATATCACTGATTTCAAGTAATATTAAACAAGTTTAAACTGACCTATTATTTGCAAAAGAACATTCGAGAAAGTGCAGTTTTTTTAAGGACAGCTCGGGCCATTTGACCAATTAAGCATTATCATGCAAAATGAGCAACGCTCATCTTGCCATATAGGACAAGTGAAAATTTGTGTATGCAATAATTTCGCCAAAATCATTCTGAACCTATCAAAAAAAAAATATATTTCACTGTGTTTGTTTAGTATTAAATTATTGTAAACAAATCTAAAATATACTTGGTTGGGTTAGGTTAAAATAAATTGCGCTTTTTATAATAAGGTTAGGTAAGTTTTCCAAGTTCCTTTTGGTGCAAAATTATAAATTTTTACATCAACATTAATGAAAAAAATATATCTTTAAACGTTTAAGAGAAAATTTTAGAAAGGACTTAATTTTAAATGAGTTCTTGCTAATTGGCCAGTTTTACCTATTAGGCACGATATATATATATATATATATATATATATATATATATATAATATATATATATATATATATATATATATATATATAATATGTGCAAAACAACCACATTGGACAAATAATAAATCTTAATTCTTGGGTAGAATAGTTTGTGGCTTGCCGTGAAGGACCTGTCTAGTTGGGCCAGTGGGCCTGCTGCAGTGTTCTCTTTCTTATGAGTCGCGTGTCAGGTGTTGCTTTGTTGTGGGATGTGATGGTGAGTTGTGGTCTAGACCCTTTATATGTCTTCCTTTGATGCCTTACTTTTATTGTTCCTTGATAATGTGAGTTGTCACGAAAGCTCTTGCAATTTCACTATTCTTTCACAGTGGTTTTTTTGCATATTCAGAAATCACCTGTTTACTGTGACGTTATTGCATATATATATATATATATATATATATATATATATATATAATATTATATATATATATATATATATATATATATATATTATTATTATTATTTTATTATCACACTGGCCGATTCCCACCAAGGCAAGGCGGCCCGAAAAAGAAAAACTTTCACCATCATTCACTCCATCACTGTCTTGCCAGAAGGGTGCTTTACACTACAGTTTTTAAACTGCAATATTAACACCCCTCCTTCAGAGTGCAGGCACTGTACTTCCCATCCCCAGGACTCAAGTCCGGCCTGCCGGTTTCCTTGAACCCCTTCATAAATGTTACTTTGCTCACACTCCAACAGCACGTCAAGTATTAAAAACCATTTGTCTCCATTCACTCCTATCAAACATGCTCACGCATGAATGCTGGAAGTCCAAGCCCCTCGCACACAAAGCCTCCTTCACCCCCTCCCTCCAGCCTTTCCTAGGCCGACCCCTACCCCGCCTTCCTTCCACTACAGACTGATACACTCTTGAAGTCACTCTGTTTCGCTCCATTCTCTCTACATGTCCGAACCACCTCAACAACCCTTCCTCAGCCCTCTGGACAACAGTTTTGGTAATCCCACACCTCCTCCTAATTTCCAAACTACGAATTCGCTGCATTATATTCACACCACACATTGCCCTCAGACATGACATCTCCACTGCCTCCAGCCTTCTCCTCGCTGCAACATTCATCACCCATGCTTCACACCCATATAAGAGCGTTGGTAAAACTATACTCTCATACATTCCCCTCTTTGCCTCCAAGGACAAAGTTCTTTGTCTCCACAGACTCCAAAGTGCACCGCTCACCCTTTTCCCCTCATCAATTCTATGATTCACCTCATCTTTCATAGACCCATCCGCTGACACGTCCACTCCCAAATATCTGAATACATTCACCTCCTTCATACTCTCTCCCTCCAATCTGATATCCAATCTTTCGTCACCTAATCTTTTTATCCTCATAACCTTACTCTTTCCTGTATTCACTTTTAATTTTCTTCTTTTGCACACCCTACCAAATTCATCCACCAATTTCTACAACTTCTCTTCAGAATCTCCCGAGAGCACAGTGTCATCAGCAAAGAGCAACTGTGACAACTCCCACTTTATGTGTGATTCTTTATCTTTTAACTCCACGCCTCTTGCCAAGACCCTCGCATTTACTTCTCTTACAACCCCATCTATAAATATATTAAACAACCACGGTGACATCACACATCCTTGTCTAAGGCCTACTTTTACTGGGAAATAATTTCCCTCTTTCCTACATACTCTAACTTGAGCCTCACTATCCTCGTAAAAACTCTTCACTGCTTTCAGTAACCTACCTTCTACACCATACACCTGCAACATCTGCCACATTGCCCCCCTATCCACCCTGTCATACGCCTTTTCCAAATCCATAAATGCCACAAAGACCTCTTTAGCCTTATCTAAATACTGTTTACTTATATGTTTCACTGTAAACACCTGGTCCACACACCCCCTACCTTTCCTAAAGCCTCCTTGTTCATCTGCTATCATATTCTCTGTCTTACTCTTAATTCTTTCAATAATAACTCTACCATACACTTTACCAGGTATACTCAACAGACTTATCCCCCTATAATTTTTGCACTCTCTTTTGTCCCCTTTGCCTTTATACAAAGGAACTATGCATGCTCTCTGCCAATCCCTAGGTACCTTACCCTCTTCCATGCATTTATTAAATAATTGCACCAACCACTCTAAAACTATATCCCCACCTGCTTTTAACATTTCTGTCTTTATCCCATCAATCCCGGCTGCCTTACCCCCTTTCATTTTACCTACTGCCTCACGAACTTTCCCCACTCTCACAACTGGCTCTTCCTCACTCCTACAAGATGTTATTCCTCCTTGCCCTATACACGAAATCACAGCTTCCCTATCTTCATCAACATTTAGCAATTCCTCAAAATATTCCCTCCATCTTCCCAATACCTCTAACTCTCCATTTAATAACTCTCCTCTCCTATTTTTAACTGACAAATCCATTTGTTCTCTAGGCTTCCTTAACTTGTTAATCTCACTCCAAAACTTTTTCTTATTTTCAACAAAATTTGTTGATAACATCTCACCCACTCTCTCATTTGCTCTCTTTTTACATTGCTTCACCACTCTATTAACCTCTCTTTTTTTCTCCATATACTCTTCCCTCCTTGCATCACTTCTACTTTGTAAAACTTCTCATATGCTAACTTTTTCTCCCTTACTACTCTCTTTACATCATTCCACCAATCGTTCCTCTTCCCTCCCGCACCCACTTTCCTGTAACCACAAACTTCTGCTCAACACTCTAACACTACATTTTTAAACCTACCCCATACCTCTTCGACCCCATTGCCTATGCTCTCATTAGCCCATCTATCCTCCAATAGCTGTTTATATCTTACCCTAACTGCCTCCTCTTTTAGTTTATAAACCTTCACCTCTCTCTTCCCTGATGCTTCTATTCTCCTTGTATCCCATCTACCTTTTACTCTCAGTGTAGCTACAACTAGAAATTGATCTGATATATCTGTGGCCCCTCTATAAACATGTAAATCCTGAAGTCTACTCAACAGTCTTTTATCTACCAATACATAATCCAACAAACTATTGTCATTTCGCCCTACATCATATCTTGTATACTTATTTATCCTCTTTTTCTTAAAATATGTATTACCTATAACTAAACCCCTTTCTATACAAAGTTCAATCAAAGGGCTCCCATTATCATTTACACCTGGCACCCCAAACTTACGTACCACACCCTCTCTAAAAGTTTCTCCTACTTTAGCATTCAGGTCCCCTACCACAATTACTCTCTCACTTGGTTCAAAGGCTCCTATACATTCACTTAACATCTCCCAAAATCTCTCTCTCTCCTCTGCATTCCTCTCTTCTCCAGGTGCATACACGCTTATTATGACCCACTTTTCGCAGCCAACCTTCACTTTAATCCACATAATTCTTGAATTTACACATTCATATTCTCTTTTCTCCTTCCATAACTGATCTTTCAACATTACTGCTACCCCTTTCTTTGCTCTAACTCTTTCAGATACTCCAGATTTAATCCCATTTATTTCCCCCCACTGAAACTCCCCTACCCCCTTCAGCTTTGTTTCGCTTAGGGCCAGGACATCCAACTTCTTTTCGTTCATAACATCAGCAATCATCTGTTTCTTGTCATCCGCACTACATCCACGCACATTCAAGCATCCCAGTTTTATTAAATTTTTCTTCTTCTCTTTTTTAATAAATATCTACAGGAGAAGGGGTTACTAGCCCATTGCTTCCGGCATTTTAGTCGCCTCATACGACACGCATGGCTTACGGAGGAAAGATTCTTTTCCACGTCTCCATTGACAATAGAAGAAATAAAGAAGAACAAGAGTTACTTAGAAAAAGGAGAAAAACCTAGATGTATGTATATAATATATATATATATATATATATATATATATATATATATGCATGTGCGTGTCTGTGAAG